TCAGGAGGGAGCTACCACGTCGTGGGATTCTCTAGACTTGTTCCCTGGACCATCCTTTTTATAAATTAAATCTGAATTGAGCAGAGATAAAGAGAGAAATGGCAAGCATAGGAAACAGAATTCCGAGAAACTCTGAATGGTTGACCCCCTGCTGTTTCCTTGCTGAAGGGATATTTTTAAATGTCTCTAAGCTAGAAAACATCGTGTACAACTGGCCTGATGAGATAATTTTCATTCTTTTTTTTTTACTTTCCTCAGACTTTAATTGTATTTTTATGAAGACAAGCGGTGTGGTTTCTTGGAAAACATGTGAAATGTATTTTTAATTTACAAAACTTTGAATTCGATAATATTCCTTATTTGACGCCAGAAAATCGTAAATGTTTCACCGATTATTAAAAACAATAAACAATATAAGCTTTACAAATCATTTGTTTTTATAATTTTTATATTGTATCGCCATCTAGTAGCTAACATTGAAAAGTTAACCCAACAATACGAAATCAATGAGATTATATATATATATAATGCTTTTCATACGACTTTTATTATCCTAGTTTAATATATACAAAAACCTTGCAACCAGACAGTACATAAGATTATATGTTAATCCATTTACTTTATCTTAACTTGCTCGTATTTTAGGCCAAACTATAACTTCAAGATAGCTATAGGTAAATTAGTATTCTAAATTTAACTATGAATCTCCTAATCTCTCTTTGGTGGTTATAAAACTTCGTCCCACGGTATTCGTTTTTTTAATACTAGAATTTTTATCGTCAGAGTAATATTGTTATGTGTATCACGATTTTCAAGCTTAAGCTAAATAAAAATTACGTCCAGTATATTTTATACTTGCACGAGTCTTGTAACGTTACATCTAGTCAGAAACACCTTAAGTGAGGAAAAAAAAGTTGCGGCCAAAAAAAGGATAGCGTGCGACTTAAAGAAATGAAATCAAAATTGGCGGCCAAACTGGTAGCTTCACTTATAGCATTTTTAAAAATTTTACAGCAAATATTCATTCATTAGTTAGCCGGGCCACGTTTTCTGTTCAACTTGGGGCACGATGGTGAGTAAAACAAAATGCCTGTTTCGATACCCGTGATAGCGCATTGTGTAGCTTTGTGCTTAACTTCAAACAAACAAACAAGCACAACCAGTATTGTAACGCCATGGAATTTAGATTAACAGTTTCTTGTCATCACCCCCATGCAATCGGTACAGCCATATCAAGCATCATTATTTATGCTAATTGCTAATATCACGCTCTTTAATTATGATTATTTTGAAAATTTGAGCTAGAAACTGCTAATCTAGTTTGCTTGGCCTAACCAATACCTGTGCATCTGTGCGTCTTTTCACCATATAGTTTTATTGCTCTAAATCAGCCATCTTTAATCCGAATGACAAAAACTAAAAACTATCCACTTCTACTCTTAGGAGAAGTTGTAGTAAAAATGGTAGACCGATAGCTCACGTGACTTTCTGCGTAGGCGTGCGCAAAACTTTTCGTCAAATGTGAGCGCTTTTTTGTTGAATAACTTTGCACATGTGGCTTATATTTATACCAAACTAAACTCCTAATTGTAGGTTAGTAAGATCTATCAGTGTGCCACATTTTAGAAACATCCATAAAGTTAAGTATCGTTATGATAGCGGAAGTCACTTAATGCTGGAATCATGCGTACTGGAGTTTCTAGAAGGATCATGATTGTTCCTGGCAACTCTAGT